GATTGCATGTAATATTCTAATTTTCTGAGATTGTGGATTTGGGGTTTTCATGAGCTGTAAGCCATAATCATCACAATTATGACAAATCATGGCTTGAACTATCTTGCTTTGCATGTAATGAGTCTATCTCATATATTAGGTTCACCTTTTAAGTTGCATTACTGAAATAAATGAACTTTTGCACGATATTCTAATTTTTCGAGTTTCACCTGTAGAGTAGTTTTATTAGATATTTAAGCATTTTTTTTTCTTTTTAATTTGCGGTATACAAAAGGCAATGCCATTTTGGGGTGGGGGTCATGATTCATTTCTAACCCAGTACTCTCAAACCACTCAGGTATAGGTTTAGTCAATAAGGGGTACTATTATATATATTTGTAAAGCTATATTACTGTTCAAAAATTCCCCTAATTCCCTTGATAGGATTAAAATAATTTCTTATTAGAGGAAAGCATAATCTTAGTGATGAATGTGAAACTTGAAGGAATTTAAAGTCAGTCAGGAATGTGCTATTCTATACTTCAGTTTATGAAAAATTATGCTGTGATTATACAATGATGATTATACATTAATATAAAAATTACAAGACTTGCTAATTCATTTTGCTACATCAAGCTAACATAACTGTGTTCTAGAACTACTATAAATAACTTGCTTAAATTGTTACCATTTGCAAAGAAAATAATAAAATCAATTCCGTAAATGTCTGTGTGCAAGTTCAACTTTCATTGACTTTGCACTTTTAAACAGACTTAACTTAGAAAGATAACACGGTTTAAGTATGGAACATTCTGTGTGCTTCTATTTAAATAATGCTTAATAAATAAAGGAATAAAATGTTTCTAGGAGTCACTTGCTGAAGTTGAAGAGAAATACAAGAAGGCCATGGTTTCTAATGCCCAACTTGATAATGAAAAAAACAATTTAATCTATCAAGTGGATACTCTAAAAGATGTCATTGAGGAAAGAGAAGAGCAATTAGCAGAATACTATAGGGAAAATGAAGAAAAAACTAAGGTACTTAAATTTATAATTTATTATATGCAGAATGTACATTTTAAATGGAATATTAAAAAATATCTGTGTGTGTACTTAGGCATATTTGTACTTGAAAATAATGTTGCATATTTTTAGTGAAGACAAAGACCTTACTAAGGTCTATGATGGCTGAAACATGGGAAAATTAATTTGTTCTGGCAGCAATTTCTCCTCCTTTTCTTTTGTTTGATTCTAAACTACTCTTATTCTTAGAAATTGGACAACCATTCATCTGAAATGGTATATAGGATCTCCTGTCTGAGCAGGAGGTTGGACTGGAAAACCTTCAAGGTCCCTTCCAACTCTGTTATTCCTTGCCCATGATGATTACAGTTTTTACTAAAAACAGATTTGAAAAATGTTGTCACATATAGTGGAAAATTGAAAGTCCAATACTGAGGCAATATTGATCTAATGTCAAGCATTGGAGACAAGCAGGAAGTCTGTTCAAAATTGGGTCTTGATTACAGTATACTAGAGTGAGATTTACTACTCAGAAATTGTGAAAAATGATTAAGCCAGATTTCATAATTGGGTTCCTTTAACTGAGTAGTTATTATTCCTACCTATATAATAAATATTAAGAGTACCCACTTACTAGCCCACAGAATCTTGAAATTAGTTTACTTCGTTATAATGTTATTTGAGAGTAGCCAAAGCCATTGAAACAAATTTTAAAGTAATCTAATTTCCACTTTTTTTTGTTTAATACAGGAATTGGAAAGACAGAAACATATGTGCAGTGTTCTACAGCATAAAGTAAATGAGCTCAAGGAAAGCCTTTGCCAAAGAGATGAACTTATAGAGGTATATGGTTATGCTGGAAAATAACTAAATAATATTGTAGTCAAATGAAATGTCTGTAATTTATTTCCTTTATTTTGTCACATACTATACTGTTTTGCACTTTTCTTCCAATGTTATACTTAGAGGAACTAATGAAAGACCTTTTTCTTTACGAGGGGCTCCAGATAGCAAAAATTCTTGATACAAATTGTGTCTATGTCTACTTGTGTCCAGAGAGGATTGCAGTGCTTAGATGTTCTATTGATATATCATTTATCTTGCTGCCAAACACTTTTTCTTTCTGAGCCAGCTGGGTTGGTTTCCAAATTGGTTCTAAATTATTGGATTACTTGTTTTGTTAATGCTAAAGCTACAGAAGCTCACTTAAAACTTCAATTTCATGATTCTTTATTTACTTACTTATTTTACATGCCGTTAAACAATTCCAAAATAGTGTTCAAACAGACTCAATGTTTAAACAATGAAACTAATTGATAAACAATAACATTATTATAATAAAATGTAAATTAGACATGATTAAATTAACAATAACATATTAAGACAGTATATAATTTTATGACAGTAACATGGCTACTCTAGTTAGTAACTTTGTCCTCACATGAAGCAGTTTCATCTTAGCTTAACTTTGCTCAACATGAACATGCTGCTTTGAAAAATTGATGGAATTCAATTTTTAATTGAATTCATGGGATTTTCTTGTTCATGGGTTGAAGCCTTTCTGATTAATTCTGATAGAATTGGCATGTATCTTCCTCAATCTAGGATCTTCTGCGAGAGGCCTGGGAGTTTGAGGGTTCTGTACTTCCAGTGGAACTGGCCAGATTTGAAAGTCAGCAGTCTTTTAGATTGTTATAGACTCCCCCAGAGTTAAATGCTTTAGAAAGTTTTCTAAGGCAGAAAAAACCTCCCTGGAGAAAAGGGAAGTTCTGGAAATTAACCCTTTTGCTCCCCTGGACAGCTGGGTGTTCTCAGAAAGCTTCTGGAAGAAGATGTGCGGTGAGTCTCTAGCTGGGGGGTGGACAACCAAGACACAAGTTCACTGTGGAGGAATCAGCCGTTTTAATATGGACATAAAAATCTGTCTCTGCCGCTTAGACACTAGCCTTTGCATATTTACCTTTTCTGTTTAAAAGAGGCTTTCTCTGGTTGCAACCTGCCTTTTCCATTTTGTGGAATCATCATCATTTCTGTGGCTTCAGGATTTCAATACGGTGAGGGGAGGTGTTTGAATATCCGAGCCAAACTAAAGAAGCTGGTGAACACGGTGGATTTTATTTTGAAACTTTGGATTTAAAAAACTCTTGGAGAAATACTTATCTAGCAGACTCTGCTGAACTCTTTCTTTTCTTTTTTCCAAATTTTTTTTTATTATTTTCCATCATAAAAAAGACAATCACAAGCATAATAAACACAATAACAAGTAAAAAACCCCCATCCCCCCCCCAGACTTCCCAAACCTAATCCCAGGATAATATTCATATATGAGTAAACAAATACTAATATCCCTAACTCCACAAAATATCTTAATCTACGAAAAAGATAGAAAGAATAAACAAAAATTAAAAAAATCTAAAAACCTAAGTTATATTCTACCACTCTATGCTTCTTTTGAATATAAACAATCCATCTTCTCCATATTGATAAAAATTGTTCATTTGAATGATTCTTCAGATAAGCCGAAATCTTTGCCATTTCAGCAAGATACGAAACTTTCAATCTCCAGTCTTCCATTGTANAAAAAAGTTGCATCTGGATGTCCACACCTCCAACACTTGGATTCATAATTCACATAGATACGAGACATAGTTGAAGGGTCCAAGTGCCATCTATAAAACATTTTATAAAAATTCTCCCGTAAATTTTGAGCTTGTGTAAACTTCACATTTCTCACCCAGATTAACTCCCAAGTATCCATAGGTATTGTCTCTCCTATATCTGAACTCTTTCTTATCTCTAAATTAAACCTTCCCTGAATGGCATTTTACTTTGGCTGGAAGGAGAGGGAGAAATAGTTTTGATTTCACTTCTCACCGCTGATTGCTCGAATAGTAGACAAAGAGAAACTGTTCTTATTATATTGTTTGACCACACGAGGGAGCCAAAGACTACAGAGTGATGGCGACTCGTAAAAGAACAGAGAATATACCTGGAGATGTGGAATCTTTTAGATCTTTTATGGATGAATATACAGCCAAAACACATGAAGCTATACAGGCGATGGGAACTAAGCTTGAATCAAAAATTGATACATTGGTAAGGGAACTTCGTGATGAGATACAAGGTTTCAGAGGAGATATTGAGCAAGTGATGGCCAGTGCTGAATTGTTAAACACAATTGGTAAGTTGGTAAGCAAGATAATTTTCTGGAAAATGAAGCAAATGAGAGGATTCTCCTGGAAATTCATGCTAAGGAATTTCAATTAAGATTCAGAACAATTCCTAAACAATCTGGAGAGGATATCAGAGCAAGGATGTTTAAAGCTTTGGCTGCATTAGTAGATTGTGACAAAAGAAGTCTCGACTCCAATGTAGATAAGGTGTATCGACTGAATTCGAGATTTGCTGCCATGAGGAAATTACCAAGGCATGTTTTGGTTCACTTTGTGAGAAAATTGTTCTGAATTGTCATTTCAAAGCGAAATCACAAATGGAAAATGTTCACATAATTATCTTGAAGGAAACTCCCATAAGAATTTTGCGAAAAAGGAAACCCCATTCATTCCTTATAGATATTTTGAAGATGGGAAAAATTTCCTTTAGTTGGGATAAGCTTGAAGTGGTAACACTTACATACCAGGAACAAAGATTTTGACTGAACTACATAAATAAAGCCAAGGAGTTTTTGAGCAGACATAAATTAATTTCAGAACTAGATGATGAGATGGAAAGGGATAAGTCTTTGGGGGCAGACCAGCTTCGAAAAACGGACATTGAAGAAGAGATGACTGATGCTTCATTTAAAGATGGAAAGTAAACTCATTACATGGAATATTAATGGGGTTAATACCCCATCTAAGCATAAAAAAGTATTTCATCATTTGAGAAAATGCTGGCATAATCTGTCTTCAAGAAACACATATTAAAAATATGAAGACAAATATCTAATAAATAAAAGGCTAGGGGAGGAATTTGTATCTGCTGGGAAAAAAAGATAAATGGAGTGGTTTTATACTTAAAACCCCAATTTAAACCTAGGCTTTTATCAGATGAATACGGTAGACTTGTAATAGTAGAAATTAATTTTAATGGAATAAAATCAATAGTGATTGGACTATATGTGCCAAATTAGGGGAAAAGCAATTTTTTTGAGTACCTTATAGACCTAGCCTTTTTCATATGAAAATTGGCTTATGCTGGGGGACTGGAATGGAGTGATTTCGCCACTTTAGGATAGAACATCTACTAAAGGCATAAAACCATCCCAGAGCAAACTACCAAAGTCATTTTTTGAAATGATGGACAATTTAACATTAATAGACTCATGAAGGCATAAAAATGGCTCCGCGAGAAAATATACCTTTTTTTCAGAAAGGCACAAATCTTTTTCAAGGATCGATATGATATGGACCTCTAAAAACTTAGCAAATAGAATTTTGAAAGTTGATATCCTACCTAAATCCTTTTCTGATCATAACCCAGTTGTTTTGGTCCTCAGAAAAAAGACCTTGAGTTATAGATTGAGATTGAATGAATCTATTTTACAAAAGGAGGAAATTGTAAAGGAATAGAATAGAGAAGAGAAGAGAATCTGGAAGGGACCTTGGAGGTCTTCTAGTCCAGCCCCCTGCTCAAGCAGGAGAACCTATACTGTCTCAGATAGGTGAATGTCCAGTGTCTTCTTAAAAATCTCCAGTGATGGAGTGCCCACGATTTCTGGGGGTAAGCTGTTCCACTGGTTGATTGTCCTCACTGTGAGGAAGTTTCTCCTTAGTTCTCTCTTTGATCAGTTTCCAGCCATTGTTTCTCCTCCCTCCCTTTGGTGCTTTGGTGAACAACCTAGCCTCCTCTGCCTTGTGGCAGCCCCTCAGATACTGGAACACTGCTATCATGTCTCCCCTATTTCTTCTTTTATTTAGCCGTAGCCGTTCTTTGTATGTTTTAGTCTCCAGGCCTTTGATCATCTTAGTTGCTCTTCTCTGAAGTTTTTCCAAACTCTCAACATATTTTTTGTGATAAGGTGACCAAAATTGGCTACAGTATTCTAGGTGTGGTCATACTAGGGTTTTATAAAGCGGTAATAATACTTTGCGTGATCTTGATTCTATGCCTCTGTTTATACAACCCAGGATTGTATTAGCTTTTTTGGTTGCTGCTGCACACTGCTGGCTCATAGTCAAGTGATCGTCCACTAGGACTTCAAGGTCCCTCTCACAGTAACTGTTTTTAAGCCAGGTCTCGCCCAATCTGTATTTGTATCTTTGTTTTTTCCTGCCTAAATGTAAGACTTTGCTTTTCTCCACATTGAATAGGATAGGGCCCATTGTTCAAGTTTGTCAAGATCTTTTTGGATCCTGAGTTTGTCTTCTGAGGTGTTGGATACTCCTGCCAGTTTAGTGTCATCTGCAAATTTGATGAGTTCCCCTTCAATTCCCTCATCTTAGTCATTTATGAAGATATTGAAGAGTACTGGGCCTAGGACGGAACTTTGTGATACCCCACTGCTTACTTCTCTCCTTGTGGATGTAGTGCCATTGAGGACTACTCGTTGAGTACGATTTATTAGCCAGCTACAGATCCATCTGATGGTGATGTTGCCTCTTCCACCTTTTCCTAGCTTACCAAGGAGTAGGTCAGTGATGGCGAACGTTTTAGAGACCAAGTGCCCAAACTGCAACCCAAAACCCACTTATGCATCGCCGGGTGCTGGGTGGATGTGGCCCATTGGGTGGGTGTGGCTCATTGGGTGGGCGTGGCTGCAGTGGTAACAGCAGACTGGGTGGGACTAAAAAGTTCAATCAATCAATTCCAACTTTGCAAGATCTTTTTTTTTCCCTGCGAGA